TAAATTTACACCAAGCTGTTGTCTACTAAGTGTGAAGTAAATGATGAAAGAGTCAGATATTGTGTGAATGACCCAAATGTGCCAAAGAGATGTTAAGTGAATGGCTGGGGAAATGGCGTCCCTCAACTTGCCTGATGCTCAGGGTTGCCACAAACCTCCCACTCTCTGTGGCTTGCGCTATGTCTGTAATCTTAAAAGATGGCATGAATATTCTCCTTGCGTTTGTCTTGCAGACCTAGAGCGGCTTTCGGCACCTCAACTCTTTACCTAGGATGCAGTGGCAAAAGCTAATCCGCAGGCGCCCCCTGGGGACAAACAAGACCAAGAGTGGCCTGGCCAGCTGCCTGACCACCTTGGATCTGGTGGCCCTGGGTGTGGGCAGCACCCTGGGAGCAGGCGTCTATGTCCTGGCTGGCGAAGTGGCCAGGGAGATAGCTGGACCAGCAATCGTCATCGGCTTCTTGGTGGCAGCCCTATGTACCATGCTGGCCGGATTCTGCTTTGCGGAGTTTGGGGCCCGGGTTCCCTGCTCTGGGTCTGCATATCTCTACAGCTACGTCACAGTGGGTGAACTTTGGGCTTTCGTCACTGGCTGGAACCTCATACTCTCCCACATCATTGGTGAGATGTTGGGCCAGGGGCATGGGGTGGGAGCAAGCAAAGGATGTGGTTGGTCCCCAGTGGCCCAAATGGCGAACACTGCCCCACTAGCCTGAAGGCTACTGGTTTGAACCCACTCAGAAACAAGGGAGCAGAAAGGGCTGGGAATCTATTCTCAAAAAAGGTCACAGCTACGGAAACCCTATGGGGCAACCACCATTCTACTCTGGAACACAAGGGTCAGGCTTTCTAGGGTGAAGAGAAAGCGGGGGACCATTGGAAAAGTTGGAGTGCTCCTCACCTTTGTTCATCATATTTTGTTACTTTGGAAGGTGGTAGGTAGCAGTAGGGTGGTTGTTAAGTACCATCGAGTTGGTTCTGACCCATAGCAATGCTGTATAGGGTTTCTGAGGAGCGGCTGGTGAGCTTGAACTGCCAACCTGGTAGTTCAAACTGAATTTGCAGCCCAACGCATTAGTCCACAGCGCCACACCAGGACTCCATCACTCAATTCTGCCCTGCCTCCCTTATATGCGGAGAGCTGGTGGTGCGGTGGTTAAGAGCTCGGCTGCCAACAGAAAGGCCCGTGGTTGGAACCCACCCGCTGCTCCCTGGGAGCAAGCTGCTGCCGTCAGCTTTTGTAAAGATGGAAGGACGCCTCGGAAACCCTGGGGGTACTTCTGCTCTGTCCTGTGTACCGGCTGCTGTGAGTTGGAATCCACTTGATGGCAGTGGATTTGGTTTAGGTTCCTTAAGTGAATGAAAAGCTGAGATGGAAATGGGAATTTCTGAAAGTGGGGAAAACTTGGCAGGGGGTGAGGGGAGATGTGTCCTGTGAGGATCACTCTCCCTGTTTTGAGGTCTGCTCAGTTGTCACCATCGTGGGATTCTCCCAACAGTGGCACAGTGGGTTAAGTGCTTGGCTGCTAGTCAAAATGTTGGTGGTTCAAACCTACCCGTCTCTCTTTGGTAGAAAGATGTAGCAGTCAGTTCCCATAAAAACTTACATGGAAATCTATGGGATGGCTCAGATTCGACTTGAGTCTGGCAGCAGGTTTGGTTGTGGGTACCCAATTTAAGGAGTCGATGGGAGGTGCAGCCTTACAGGAAAGGTGGGCAGTGTGAACTCACTTAGAGGAGCCTTCGTTATCTAAGATAGTACTTGTGGCTTGCCTCTGAAAAGACCCCCGGGGAAGGGGGGGGGGAATGTTCTTACCACTGTTAATAGGAATCCTGGTGTGGTGCTATAGAATCAGCACTGGACTGCTACCCACAAGGTCTGCGGTTCAAACCCATCAGCTGCTCCTCGGAAACCCGACATACAGAGTTGCTATGAGTCGGAACCCACTCGACAGCACTTAACAACAATAACAACCACAATCTTTATGGGAGTAGATGGTCAGGTCTTTCTCCCAGGGAGCCTCTGGGTGAGTTGGCAGCAGAGTTCTCTTGAGCTCTGAGGGATGCTTTATCACCCAGCCGGGCTTCCTTAGGGTTTAATGTAAACGGTCCTCTGCAGGTACCGCCAGCGTGGCCAGAGCCTGGAGCGCCACCTTTGATGGTCTGATTGGGAACCACATCTCCCAGGCCCTGCAGGGCCGCCTGTCTCTGAATGTGCCCCACTTCCTGGCCAAGTATCCAGACTTCTTCGCCCTAAGCCTGGTGCTGCTGCTGACGGGTGAGGAGGAGCCAGAGATTGGATGGCAAGCGGAGGGGAACTGGGGTGCGGGAAAGGTTTGGTGGGTGCCATGAGTCTACTTTCAACAAATGACGACCACATGTGTTACAAAGTAGAACTATCCTATAGGCCTTTTTCCCTTCCCTTTCCTTCTTGAATAACTCTTTATTGTGAAAGTTTACAGAGCAAATTCGTTTTCTCTTAACAATTCATACACGTTTGTCCCGTGACATTGGTGACAATCCTCACAACGTAACAGCGCTCTTCCACCCCTTCCTTGTCTGTACCGTTTCCATCTGTCCTTCTCTCCTGTCCCTGCCTGCCTTCTCGACTTTCTCCCTGGGCACACGCTGCCCTCTTCATCTCTTGCGGTTGATGACTCTGAGGAGTGTGTGCCTGCCTGTTGTTAAGTTCACCCTGTAAACCTGCTGAAAGTTAAGACTGGACAGTCACTTCCATCCCAGCCCTGGAGGGTAGACAGTCTTGGGTGTTCCACCAGTCTTTTATCAGACCAGTAAACCTGTTTTTTTCTTTTCTTTTCTTTTCTTTAAATCATTTTAAGTGTTGTCCCACATTTTCCTCCCACTCCAGCCAGGACCTCCTATTGTGATCCCTTTCAGAGTGGTCAGCAGTGGGGTGGCTGGGCACCATCTAGTTCCTCTGATCTCTGGGTATTGGATGCTGGGGTTCACATGCTCTATTATTCCTCTGGGCTAATTGTTTCCTTGTGTTTTTTTATTTTCTTCACTCTTCTTTCCTCCAGACAGGGAGAGAGAGACCAGTAATTGCAATTTAAGTGGCTACTGATTCCCTTTTTTTTTT